CCCATAATGTATTATTAGCACTATATAAGAATTGTAACTTCAATCGTCTACGAAACCTGATCCAGAAGTCATAGAAATGCCATCTTAGTTCGTCCAGATGCAGAATATCGAGAGCTTCAAAACAAGCCAAAGTATGAAGTATTTAATCACAGGAACCCGAAATAATCTTGACAGTTGGGAAGTTTTACTGTGGCACATCATGGGTTAGAAGTTAATTATCAAATCGTAGATCGATTTTGCGAAACGCGACTGTGGAACTGTCACTCCCCTGGTTCTTTGGATCATAGATAACCTGCCCTATTTGCTTAACTGCCTGGGATAGCTTTTCTTTTTTGGAATGAATGTGAGAAAAAGGGTAAAAAAATAATAGCAAATAGAGACAAATCATGATTGGTTATGTGATCATATGTGTTAAAAAATTTTTTATTTGCAAAATAACTGCTAATGGTACTGGACTACCCAATCATTCTTAATATAGTTTTTTCCCAGGCAGTGATCGATTCACATGAGTCTTTTATGCTTCCACATTTACTATTGAAATTCCATGTAGATGTGAAGCAATTCCGCATTCGAGACAATAAGTTCGTTCTTTGCAATATTCACCAGAACCCCATATACCTATTATGCTATTCTTTATACCTTTTTCTTTATGATCTCTATTACAAATAGGACAGAATGCTGAATTAACGAGATTAAAACTATCACTATACTTCTCACTGTACTTCAAAGATAGATAAGAAAATTGCTCTAGCACTAACCCAATTATATGTTTTCGCTTCTCTTCTGAATCATCAGGTAAAATAGAAATCGGAAGTCTGGATTTGTTAGATAATATTACCTCAGCTTTGGGCAAATTATCTAGACCAATTCCGTAGGAATCACTTGGAGAATTAGAAACCCAGGCAGGAGATGAAGGAATAGGTGTGGCTGAAATGTTTACCTCAGCTGAAATTTCAGTCATGTGACTTGATACTTCTTTCACATCAGCGTTATCATTATTGTTATCGTTGTCGTTATCATTATACTTGGAGAAATTATCTATGATATCTTGAACTTTATCATTAGTCAACTCAGAAATAGAGTTCGCAGTATATGTCGTAATATACTTAATATTTTCTACACCTATCTTTTCAAATAAATTATATATTTTTACGGCTTTCTGAGTTTTCCCTTGCAAGTATTTACGTGTTATTTCTGGGAGTTGTAAACTGGTTTCTTCAGATTTCTTTTTACGAAGAATGGAAATTTCCTCTAACATTTTATCATAAATAATCCCTTTCGCTTTTTTCTCACCAACTTTTCTATTTTTTATAGTTTCATTAACTTGAGTTATAAATTTTTTTCCATAGTAGTACCAGCACAAAATTTCTTCCTGATTCGCATGAATTGCATCATATTTAGCATCAGTCGTTTTATCGAATAATTGAGCTAAAGTAAGCAGTAATACTGTAGAAGAAATTTGACTCTGTTGTGATAATATATCATTAGAAGAACTAAGAATACATTTTTGAGACTGTGCGTCAGTTTGAATACCATCAGATATCATTTGAGAAATATTTTCTGCACCTTTTTTCCTATGACTATTTTTCAGCAGGGGTGCCCGGCTGAAATTCCAATCACAGGATTGGATATCACTAGTATCTTTTCAGAAGCAGAACACCCAGTATCAGATAGTTCTTTTGGAATCGATTCTTGATCTTGGTTAAGAATACTTGCTCTGCTTTACTAAATTTCTTTTCCCTATTACGTTTCCTAATCTCATCACTAACCCTTTTCTTATACAACTCATCCAAGAAAGCATTTGTTTTTACATCATCTAATCTCTTAGAATTGATAGATTCATCACCATATATTTTGCAATTAGGCTCACTATTTGAGCTAGCTCGCTGAACTTCTTGAGAATTGAGTATGATAATAGCTGATGCCTCTACTTCTGGTATCGCTTCCTTATCTTTCTGAAGTTCTTCACCTACTACCAAAGAACCCTGTTCCACTATTGCAAGTCTAGCTTCAAGCTTTATATTTTTTTGCTCTAATTCATTAATCTTGGTATCACGCATCTTATTCTCTTCAACAGACTGTCTTAAAAGTTCAGCAACTCTAGCCTTAAGCTCAACTTTCTCAGCCTTAAGCTCATCATTCTTAACCTTAATCTCAGCAAATCTCTTCCTAAGCTTGGCAATCTCAACTAAGAGCTTAGCATTTAATTCCTTTAATGAATCGTTGGACTGAGTGTTTGACATTAATAAATTTTATATAAGAATAGAAATATTCAAAAGTTCGTTAGTATATATAGAAACAGTTAAGTAAAGTATATAGGTTACTTCAGCTGATCGTTTCCTGAGAAAACGGTTTTTGCCAAGAAAAGGGAAAATCTACTGTGCCACATCATGGGTTAGAAGTTCATTGTAGATTGATTTGTGAAACGTAATATATGCTTTATTTAAGAAATAAAAAAAACATTGCCAAAGCAACTAATACATAAAAAATTGTGAATCTATAGCTTTACATGACACAAATATAGATAAAAAATTTCTAACTAGTTGGGGATCACTTGATTTCGAATTAGACCTTTTCACAAGGTGAACTCCTAATGCTCCTTTTCGATTATCTTGATTTATAAAATAAGACTATTAGGATAATGAGAACCTCATCAATAAAATACAGCTATAAGAAACATTTAATTACTCACACAGTTC